GCTGGCTGAGGAATTCTGGGAGTTGAAGTCCACAAGTCTTAAAGTTGCCAAGGTTGGACACCCCTGGTCTAAAGGATTCTGGACCAAAAGGAGACGATGCCGTTTATTACACCAGCTCAAGAGATGTTGGGGAATTGCGCAACTACGCAGAGCGGCGAAGTGAGGCATACCGACCTGTGTATGAGAGGGGTCTGGTGTTCGTGATCTGACGGGCCTTCATCGCCTGCTGCTGTTTTTCAAGCGCCGCCAGCATGTCGCCCAAGTCCAACTGCACAGGAGTTTTACTCTTCTTTCCGGCTGCTTTTGAAACCGCTTCCTAGATGCAGGGTGACAACGTGAGATGTCACTTTCGGTGGCCAAAGGGATTATTTCAATCAGGCCATCCTGGCTTATCTGAAGCTGTTCTTTTGATCGTAAAAAAGGGAAGGGGTGGGTGAGGCTGGCAATGAATTTTATCGCATGAACTGACTCATTAAGGAATCCAGACAGGTAGTCCTCGACTTATGACAATTGAGCCCAACATTTCTGTTGTTAAGCAACACATTTGTTAAGTGAGTTTTGCCCCATTTTTCCCCTTTTCTTGCCATGTTTGTCAAGTGAATCACTGCAGTTGTTAAGTAACACAGAGGTGGAGTGAATCTGGCTTCCCCACTGACTTTGTCAGGAGGTCGTAAAATGAGCTGGGACACTGCAATCGTCATAAATATGAGCCAGTTGCCAGGTGTCTGAATTTTGATCACATGATCAGGGGGCTGCTGCAGCGATCATGTGAAAAGGGAGTCACTTAAGTCACTTTTTTTTCAGTGCCGCTGTAACTTTGGTCGCTAAATGTAAGTCAAGGACAACCTGAGTTATAATAAACAGAAAACAAGATTACTAACTTCCAAAGGAAGTGTAGCATTTCATTTCATTTGTTGCTTGCATCCCTACGATTTATATTGACTGTTTCCTAGTATGATTTGATTGCTTATTGTACCCTATGACTATCATTAAGTGTTGTGCCTTATGATTCTTGACTCTTGATGAATGTATCTTTTCTTTTATGCACACTGAGAGCATTTGCACCAAGACAAATTCCTTGTGTGTCCAATCACACTTGGCCAATAAAGAATTTCTATTCTATTCTATTCTATTCTATTCTATTCTATTCTATTCTATTCTATCTTTTTTAAGTAAACTTTATTTACAAGAAAGCATACAAATTTAAAAATACAAAAACAATAGTATGTAAATAACACGTACTCTTTGAATTTGATATCGAATTTTATAAGTCCTACTAGTCAGTACTAACTGCTACTTATCGCATTTTCATTTACTGTCACATCTTAATCACTAAATAACTCACAATACTCTACTAATCTTCTCGTTGGTTTATAACTATTATTTAATTAATACATTCATATTATTTAAATAATGAATAAAAAGATATAGTAAATATATGATAATAATGTAAGAGAAAAGAGGATTTAAAACATGTGAATGAACCCAAGAAACAAATTATATTCAGCTGTCTATATGAAATATGAAATTTATTCCATATTCTATTCTATTCTATTCTATTCTATTCTATTCTATTCTATTCTATTCCTTATTCTATTCCTTATTCTATTCCTTATTCTATTCCATCTTCTATTCAATTCTATTCTATTCAATTCAATTCAATTCTATTCTATAACTATAAACTATACTATAACTATACTATACTATGGGAAACTTTCTTGCATGATTCGTAGGCACCTGAGTTTAGGGACCTCTAGCATCAAACACTGCAATCGGTCCACCTGGATTGAAACCCAGAATGCATTTCCATTATAACCATTAAAACAGACCTGAAGCTTCCTCTGCTCCATACTGATTTCTGAATACTCTTGGGCTGTGGCCAGTGCTGCTGCGAGAGCTTTCTTCTTTTGACTTTTGGCTCTTTTGGGAACAGAGGTGGTGATTGGAATAGGAGTCTGTACTATGTTGATTGGAGAATTTTCAGGTAGATCATCCAACTAAGGAAAGAGGAGGTGGTGATTAACTATAAAGGGGCTGCAGTGTTAAAAAGAGATATAGCATAAGCAGTAGCTCATTGTACATTGGTTTTCCTAGAGCTGATCTTGTTTCTTTACCTAGTGTTTTTTCTAAGTGGATGGTCTGTTTCTGTGTTCATAACTCCATCAGCCAAGGTGGTGCAGTGATTACAGTGCAGTCCTGCAGGCTAATTCTGCTGACTGCCAGCAGTTCGATTCTCACTGGCTCAAGGTTGACACAGCCTTCCATCTTTCCAAGGTCAGTAAAATGAGGACCCAGATTGTTGGGGGGAAAGGTGTAAACCGCTTAGAGAGGGCTTTAAAGCACTGTGAAGCTGTATATGCTTAAGTGCTATTGCTATAAGATGCCTCACAATGCTGCAATAAAGCTAGAATTTGAATTGTAATGTGCAATTGTCCGCTAACGTCTCTAATTATACTTAGTCTTATTTAACTTAATAAAATACAACTCCTACTTTAGAGGCCACTCAAAATTAGCAACCATGATTTGATTGAGACTGATGGTTCTTGATTCTGGTATGTGCTGCGCCCAAAATGTGTTTCTGAGCACATCCCCAAATATGCACATAGTTAAGGCATGGTAAAGTCTTTCTGGCTAAACTCACTGCCTGGTTATCACATTAAGCATGCCTGTGGGATTTGGGGTTACTACAGAACCTTCACTCCTGATATTGCCTGCAGGCTCCCAGCCAAGTAATAATCTGCTTTAAACTGAATATCCGGATCTTAAGAAATCAAATGTTATGCTCTTCACAATGCCTGTCTATTGCTTGCGTGCGTGTGTGTGTGTGTTCCCAAGGAACAGTTCTGCTCACTTTTATTGCTGATTAAAATCAGCCAAAATATATTGAAAAGAAAAATAACCTCACTGCAGTTCTAGCCTCCAAATACAGTATAATAGCGTCACTTACCATTTTGGGTGCGTGCTTCAGCTGCATGTTATTAGCTTTAGAATGTCCACTATCACAATTTAGCTCTGGGAATTCTTCTTCATCCTGAACAAACAAACAAACGGAAAATTCATTCACTGAAAGTCACAGAACAAAATATCTGTATTTTGCAAGGAAAGCATTACTCAGCTAAAGATTGGTGGAAACTGGCCAATGCATATGAAGAGTACCAAAAGGATTAAGCATGAAACTGTATTGGAATTTGCAGGAAAGATATTGTTATCACATGCCATATTGGAAACAAACTGAAAAAATGTTAATGATCATTTGAAAAATAAGTTTTTAATGTTTTAAAATCAGCAAGCAGGGCACTGTAAGATGTAGCCATCAACCAATTCAAAATCTCCACTTGTCTTAGTGAGTGAAAGCTGTCATAAACAAGATTAATGAAAGAGTTACCCCAAAATATAGCAGTTCGGGGGTCTGCTCTACTCTGTTTGACTGGCTTGTGATTACTGGTTTCTCAATTTTCTTCTGCAAACTCTGTTTCCTTTCTGAAGATGTGCTGTGACCTCTACATTTAAAGCCAGGCTATACAAGCAAATAAAAACAAACATATTAGGACTGTCCCTTTTAAATTATAGTATGAAAGCACCCATGTAAATCACAAAGTATGTGTTAGCTATCTTGTCTGCCAGATGAAAATACGTGACAATAAAAAGTTGAACAGTCTTCACAGAGTGGAGCAGAGTAAATGGACTGGCATTACAAGAAAATAAAACACTAATTCATGCAGTCAATATTTTATCAGCTCATTTGGATTCTGTGTGCCTAAACCCAGTTTAATAGGAAACTAATTCAATAAAATTAACATGTTTAACAGTGTATACAGATTGCCAATTAATTCTGTAATCATCTTTCAGCCAAGAGGCACAAATGAAAGAAAGTAGCAATAGGTGGAGAATTTCATTTCTCTAATAAACTCTGCAAAGGAGAAGCAAATTTCTTTCTAATCTAAGAAATTCATTAAATGAAGTTGTATAAACTTACTGATTAACAGATTCTGCAACTATCTATCGAGTTTGTTGAAACCTGAGCTGAAAGTTCCTAAAATCTTGGAAACAGTAAAAACTTGCCAAGTATAGTGCTTTCAGACAGAAGATTGAACCAACAGAGCATCTTGCTATCTATTCAACAGTATTTTTCTACCTCTAAAGAAGGCTTGAAGTAGATCAGTGGAAACTATACCTCTGAATCGTGCTGAGGTTCAGGCTGCCTTCCACCTCTGGAGAAAGAGTTTCTCTCTATCCAAGGCTTCTTCTGAGTTGCTTGAGAACTGACGCTTGCCCAGCTGGCACCAACTGAGACAAGCATCACAGAAGTTTAAGGAAAGATAACATGTGAAAAGAGAAAATAATGCAAAGAAGACATGTTACTTTTTTTTACACAGAAAAAAACCAAAACACCACACCTTTAGGAAAGCCAACTAGATGTTGGAACTAATCAGCATGTGTATTCACATAATTAGCTTTGTTTGCCAGTTTATATGGTTACATCATAAAAAATAATTTAGAGAGCAGTCTGTCTGCAACTTCTCTTTCTTTAAAGACACTGAGCAATCTTGAAATATACAGTATAGCTACCATTCTCATTTGCTTGTTTTTCATATATGATATACTGCATTTTATTCCCTAACTGTATAGATTTCTATTTCTATGTTTTAATTTTCAGCATAGGGGTACAAGAAGGCTCTCAACTTACTCGCAATCCTTAAGAACTAATCAATGCAGCCACGGAAAATGTGGCCAAAAAAGTGGGGGGGGGGGGGAATGGAAAAGGAGGCAGATTATCAGGAATTACTAAAATGTTAAATATTGAATGTTTTTTTAAAAAGTGTTATTCTGACACTACTCAAAAATATTTTGAGGAGAAAAAGCTGGACAGGTTCAGAAAGAAACCCACTGTATTTAAACATTGCAATGTAGAAAAAGATTAAGGGTGGAGAATTTAATCAGTTAAAGTCATCAAGGCGTAATCGGTGAAAGCGACAAAATATATCCATCACACGCACACGCACATGCAGACACAGACACAAACACACATGGCAATGCTGCAAACTTGCAAAGCCAGGAAACTGTACCTGGGTGTATGGATGATTCTTTGATCTGAAAATTAAAAAAAAAAAAAGTTGTAGAGGTTACTTTACATGGGCTGATTTAATGTTGCTCTCTACTCTGAACTTTTCAGAGGTCTACCTACGTTTGTCCCGGCCGATTCAGCACTTCTGGATATGGCTGCCCCTGCTTGGTTGCTGTGCTTGGGACTGCAATAGCCACTGTCGCTATCAATATCGGCTTCGCTGGCCCCCTGCTCACTCGAGGATTCGGCAGGGTGGGAGGTCCGCCGTCGCCTGCCTCTCGGCTTCCAGTGCAGACCACTCACGCTCTCCGACAGGGATTTGCTGGCAATCTCTGAAGGGAAGTCTGCAAGGCAAAGAAGAGTCTCAAGAACTGACAAGGGTTTAACGCAGGGGTTAAACTTTAACTCCCAGAATTCCCCAGAACCAGGGATGTCCAACCTTGGGAACTTTAAGATTTGTTGGACTTCAACTTCCAGAAATCCCTAGCCAGTCAGTTCCCAGAATTCTAGGGAATTCTGGGAGTTGAAGTCCACAATTCTTAAAGTCCCCAAGGTTGGACACCCCTGGTTCTGGGGAATTCTGGCAGCTGAAGTCCACAAGTCCCAAGACTGGATGAGTAAAGCAGCCCCTTTGATAAGCAGCTTAATAACAATACGTCACTAAGTCGCTCTGGATGGCAAGTTGGGCAGCATGTAAATTTTATAAAATTGAAATATAAGTAAAAATGTCAGTTTTGAAGTGTCGTGATTTGACTGAAACCACTGTCCATAGTTCCGGTGTGGAAGGTGATCTAGTTATCAAATCAAGCTTTTCTTTCTTAAAAATAACATTTCAAATTGAATAAGAAGGAATAGAAAAATAGATCTGGTATACTATAAAAAAAATTAAACACATCATTGCCACACCTGTTTGCTGACAAGCATCCACCAACAGGACAATTTTGGGTCTGTTCTCTGGGCCCGAAGAGTTCGTTTCCTTCTGGATAGCAACGTTTTTCACTGGAGGCCTTTTGCTCTTTATGTGCGGTTGTGACGGCGGCGGCTGTTTGAAAGATTAGCCAACAAACAGATGAAGCTACTTGACATGACTTAGATATATGTGTGTGTGTGTGTGTGTGTGTGTGTGTGTGTGTGTATCAATCATAAGAATATATGAAGAGCAACAATCAGATCTGTGGTCATTTACCTTGTTACTTCTGAAACTAGTTTTATGGAATGTTAGTCTATCTGCTCCCATTCTTTAGGTCTTCCGAAAGGCCTTGAAGACCTGGAAGTGTCAACTCGCCTGGGGTCCCAATGGAAATGTAGCACTTTGCAGGTGGCTAATAGAGTAGATAACCCCCACCCCACTCCAACCCACCTGCCTTTGCGTACTTGGCTCAGTACCTCTCCATCCTGCTTAGTTTTAATTGAATTTTAAACTTAAGGTCCTTATTTATTGTTTTAATAGTGCTTGACAGCACATTCTACTCAACTCTGTGAGCTAACGAGAGCACTTTAGACAAATTTGGCAAACAAACAAACACACAAGAAGTCTTTTAAGTTTTAGAGTCCCATGAGTACTGGTAACTTAATAGGTCGCTGATTTCTGCACTTCTCATGTTTAGCCCCTACCTCACGTGAGCTCCCCGCTGAAATCCCAAGGACAGACTGTTTAACGAATAACACCTAATGACAGGGCTTTACTAAGTGACCTGTAAATCACGTTAATCCCTTGTGATCTCTGCCCAAGTGATGGAGATTAACAAGTGGAAAACAATCTGGAATGCCTGAGAAAAAAATACGAGGGCGGCAGAAACACTTAAAACCAACTTTAATACATTCTGGACGTATGTTAGGTAGCATTGAGAGCTTGTGGCCATTGTGAGCTTCATTCAGGTCCTTGCAGAATCAACGTGCAAACTTCTGTGACTGAAAAAGCATATGTCTCTTAAGCTGTCAGCTCTCCCAGGGTAAACCAAACAGGAAGTAGGAGTTGATGAATTCTACTTTACTGTAAGGCTACATGAATAAAACCATGCAAATCTGAAGACACAAACTTCCCGCCACCACTTTTTCCGAAATGCACAAAACGAGCTTACTTTTTGTACCATCGATCCTCTGCTGGTACTTCTGCTCCTGGGGCTACATAATGGAAAGGCCTGGCTTGGTTGGGCCGGACGATCTGTGCATTGTGCTGTAACTGTGTTTATGGCACTTGCAGGCTGAAAGGAGGCAGAGTAAGCTGTTGGGAAGGGATGATAAAATCCCATGACTTGAGGACAAGGCGCTGGCATCAGTTGATAGTAGGTATACTCGGTAGAAACTGGTGGCTGAGTAGATATAATGGGATAAGCCAGATACGGCCCGGCAGGGTTTGTGTTAGGCTGCTGCCACCTGATGTCATTATTGTACACTGGAAGCTGTCTGAAATAAATGGGGGGGGGGGGGGGGAATCCAGTTAGGTCAATGCTTATTTCTCTAAAATTATTGTAGTTTAAAGAAAGGGTGTCCAGCCTTGGCAACTTTAAGACTTATAGATTTCTAGAATTCCCTATATTTTCTCATTTTCTCTATATTTTTTAAAAATCTTTTAATTTTCTCTACTTTCAATGTACTAAAAACTCTAATAAAAATGGAAAAAAATAAAGATAATGCCAAGACTATAACTTTGTTACATAGTACAGTATAATCACAGAATCTTGAAAGCCTGCTAGAGTTTCCGCCTGCTCCCTTTTATACTATTAATAATCTGAAGGGTTTTAAGACTCTCTCAAAATAATTTGTTCCCTAACAGTCATGCCACTCAATGCTCTGCAAGTTCACTCAGAAGAAAGCCACAATGAGTTCAACGCACATCCAAGCAAGAAAAATACATCCTTCATTTTTAGATTTTTCCCAACATTTCGCAAAGCAAGGCAAATTAGATTACCCTAGTCCAAACAGAGATATACTGTAAAGCAGAATAAAACAAAACAAAACAGACTCATACTGGTTTTCTGACATATAGATTGAATTACCTGTTGGATTGGTTTTCTTGAACGAACGGGTAGCACGTAATCAGGTAGCTGGGAATCGGAGTTGCCTCAACACCACTGATGTTTCCACCATCATTTGGCAGGGCCATGGGCATCACCAGTGAATCAGGGGCCTTCTTCTGAGGAATGAATGGTTCCACTTCAGCAGACAATTTCACATTCTTAAAGGGAAAAACGAAATGAAAAGGATTCTTGGTACATAGAAGAGCAACCAGGATAATTAGAGGACTGGAGGCTAAAACATACAATGACCGGTTGCAAGAACTGGGCTGGCTAGTCTAGTGAAAAGAAGGACCCGGGGAGACATGATAGCAGTCTTCCAATATTTGAGGGGCTGCCACAGAGAGAAAGAGGTCAAGCTATTTTCCAAGGCACCTGAAGGCCAGACAAGGAACAATGGATGGAAACCGATGGAGAAAATCAACCTAGAAATAAGGAAAAATTTTCTGACAGTGAGAGCAATCAACCCATGGGACAGAAGTTGCCTTCGGAAGTTGTGGGAGCTTCATCACTGGAAGCTTTCAAGAAGAGACTGGAATACCATATATCAGAAATGGTGTAAGATCTCCTGCTTGGGCGGAGCAGTTGGACTAGATGACCTACAAGGTCCCTTCCAACTCTGTTAATCTGTTAACCTGCTTTTTAAGTTTTCAAGTTTGCTGTGTGTTAAACCTGAGCAAGCTATTTAAGCAAAATTGAATCCACTCAGAATGGAACCTTTGAGATCTCTTATCATCAAAGGACACTGGCTTTGATTTTGACAAGAGGATTTAGTACTTCATTCTTAATATTTATACATATATATATATTACGGCGTTTATACACTATCCAAATTATAAGATCAGGTTTCACCATGTCAAAAAGCAACACTCTTGGCTAATGCAGCAAACACTTCAAAAGTATGTTTATTACACAAGTTCCCAGTGATATACAGGTAGCCTTCAACTTACCACCAGAACTGAACCAAAATTTTTGTTGCTAAGTGAGACCTTTGTTAAGTGAATTTTGCGACCTTTCTTGCCACATTTGTTAAGCAAATCACTGAAGTTGTCAATTTAATAACCAGTGTTGTTAAGTGAATCTGGCTTCCCCACTGACTTTGTTTGTCAGAAGATCGCAAAAGGACAATGCAACCATCATAAATGTGAGTCAGATGCTAAGTGCCTGAGTTTTGATCATGTGACCAGGGGGAATGCCACAACCGTCGTAAGTGTGAAAAATGATCACAAGTGTTTTTTTTTCAGTGCTTTTGTAACTTTGAATGGTCACTAAACAAAGTGTTGTAAGTTGAAAACCTGTAGTTTGTCAGAACTGAATTTTGTACATTGTAAATATTGTTTGGTTTACTGAGACATTCAGCAAATCAGATTGCCTAGCAGATCTGCTTCTTTCTCATCAAAAGAGTGGCAAGTTATATGCCAGCAGCCTCTACCAAAGTTTAAGATTTTTAGCTAGAAAACCATTCAAATTACATTTCCTTCTGTACATTTGCACATGTTTACCCATGGTTAACAGATTGCATCATCAACTAACCCCATGGAGAGAGTTCCCACAGCACTCTTAAGATTAGTATTTGGTCAGTCAGATTGCATTTCAGGGTATTCTGCAAACCTAATCACTATGTTCATTTAAGCCAACCAGAGACAATTTATTTTCATATTACAGGGGAAAAAATGATTAAAGTTGGAGATTTTCATTAACTAATCATTTATAATTAATTTAATTATCCACAGAAGCATAATTTTCTTAAAGCTACCATCATATTATAAGTTATCTTACAATAATAGTAATTATTAATGTAAAATACTGGCTTTTCTTTCCATCTACCTTATACCACAAATCATACTATTTGTGAAGAGCTTAAACATTTTATCCCAGTTGCTGCCTCTAATCATGGTTGCTCCCAAACTAAATCTGGATAACGTAACTCTGTGTTCCATTTGGTTAGCATTTAGGAGCCGTGGTGGTGCAGTGGTTAGAATGTAGTATTGTAGGCTAACACTGCCCATAGCCAGAGTTCAATTCTGACTGGCTCAAGGTTGACTCAGCCTTCCATCCTTCTGAGGTGGGTAAAATGAGGACCCAGATTGTTGGGGGCAATAAGGCTGATTCTGTAAACCGCTTAGAGAGGGCTGTAAAGCACTGTGAAGCAGTATATAAATCTAAATGCTATTTACTTCATTCTATTTCATTCCAGGATATGTCTAACACTGAAAAATATTGCTAACTTGATGTATAATTTTATAATCTACTTCAGCAGAAAACATGCATTTTAAAGTACTGGAATAGTAACCAGGAAGATGACAACTATGTCACTTAGGATAACATGCTCAGCACACCTAAATTCAGTCTCATTAAAAGTATAAAAATACTGATGAGATTTAAACATTTATTTACACAGGGTAAATGATAAACCCAAATACATTCAATGCAGAATGGGAAACTATTTCCCGCATGAAACATTCATTCTAGCCCATTCTCTAGATGTCTTATTCATAAACTATCTAAAAAAATTGCTATATAAATCTGTTAAATGCATCTATGAAAAACAAAAATAATGGGGTTTCAGTTTTGCTATTGAGATTTTAGAAGTAGTTTATGACAGTGGAAGATAAAGTTCTATAATAATATTTTGTAATGTAATTGCCAATTCAAATTAAAAAGGGGCTTGAATTAAAAAGAACTAAAGCAATTGTTAACGTTTGTTACCTGTAAAGGTTTTAAACATAATTACCGGGATTAGGAAACAAAAAGAAAGGTAGGTAACACTGTAGCTAAAATTAAAACCATCAAGTACAACCTATCTTGTACATGTTACCAAACAATACTCAGTATTTGTAAATTGTAGCTAATCTAAAATTGAACAATCAGATAAGAGGGGAGGATTCAACTAACACCCATAAACCTAAACTTTATCCTAACATGTGACTACAAGCCTGAAATGTTTTTATTTGGGTTAAGTTATCTTCTGTTTTTATTTCAACATCTGCATACTAAGTGGCTTATAATGCAATAATAATTTGATGTTTCTTCAGAAAGAGATTTTTCTATAAATACCGTCCCATCTTTGAAGGAGATGGACAGCAGAGAAATGGAAAAAAATAAAATAATATAGGTGATCCTCAATTTACAACCACAATTAGGACTTCTGAATTTCCGTTGCTAAGCAATGTCGTTAAGCAAGTCACACTTGATTTTATTATTTTTGGCACAGTTCAGCAAATCACTGCTGTTGTTAAATGAATCACGCAGTCGTTAAGATAATCCGGCTTCCTGTTAGGTGGCCAGAAAAGTTTTTTTAAAAAAAAAACAGTGATCACATGACCCCGGGATGCTGCAACCTTCTTAAATACATGCTGGCTGTCAAACACCCAAGTTTTGATCACGTGACTGTGGGGATGGCCGTGGCTGTTGTGTGAGTCTTGGTTTCAGAAACTGTTGTAATTTCAAACAGCCACTAAGTGAATGATTGTAAGTCAAGGACTACCTGTACACTGCCGGGCCCCATTAAAATAAAGGAAATAAAATATTGTACACTCTATTGTTTGTGCAGATACTTCCTTTCCAATCGCAGCGTTTTAAGACTGGCCTGGCCTTCAATTTTTACTTCAACAAATGTAAAACTGTTTTATATTGGCAACATATTGTGCATAAAGGCCCCTTTGTTTTCTATGTAAAAGGCACTATAGTCTTTAGCAGCTGCAGGGACAGAAGATGACACTAGCAGGAACAGACTGGTAAAGTTAGTACACTACAAAGCACAAAAAAAATGAGTAATGGACATTTATCCTCCTCACCCAATAAAATAGAAGCCATGCTGTGCCTCGGCCAGAACCGCAATAGCTGAAGGGGCCCAGTGTTCAAAAACATAAGGCAGATATACACAAGTTATGTTTTGAACCGAAAATGAAGCTGCAGTTGCCCTGGCAGGAAGGAAAGGATCTGTGCCACGTTTGATCTTTCAAGAATTTGTAAAATATCAGTTTTTTTTTTTTTTTTTTTTTTAAACACAGAGCCTTCTAGGAACAGCTTCACAAGATGTCACACTCTCTAGTTATTTTCAGAGGAGCTTCGAAAACACCAAAGCAGCTGTGGCTATAGTTACAAAACTCTGAGCAATGTAATATTAAGATATGGCAAATATGCAAGCTAATTTGAAGTTAGCAAAGGCAGCGCTGTCATCATCTTGTAGGGGATTCTGCCTTAAAATGTGGCAGGCTGAGAAAGAATTGTTTTGAGAGGTACAATATTTCTTGGGTGGGGAAGTTCATTTTACGAAATGAGCACAAGAGCAAACAATACATGTTGTGTTGTCCATATTCGAGAGATATGTTGCTAATAAAATGATAAAATATAAACTTTTTTTGACAAGGGGTAATCAAATGGGATAAATAAAACTAATGTCATAGATGTGAAGAGGTTTCTAGAACAGGGGTATCAAATTCCCATTGTCATGGTGGTATCACATGACATATCATGACTTTACCCCCCTTCGCTAAACCGGCCGTGGGCGTGGACAGCACGTGATGCAGCCAATCCGCGGACTGAGAGTTTGACAACCCTGTTCTAGGGTAGTGTTTCCCAACCTTGACCCTTTGAAGATAGATGGACTTCAACTCCCAGAATTCCCAAGCCAGCTGGCTGGGAAATTCTGGGAGTTGAAGTCCACCCATCTTCAAGGAGTCAAGGTTGAGAAACACTGTTCTACAGTATATGATTATGAAATGAGCAAAAAGAGTGTTTACAGATAACTCAAATGGTGTCTTGATGAGTTAAACCAGGATGCAACCTATAGACAATTTACTGGTAATTTATTCCTCACTTAGCAACTGTTTGAAGTTATGACAGACCTCCCCCAGAGCTACTTGCAACCCAGTTCCAGAGTTCCAATGGATGCACACACACACAGTCACATAATTGTATTTTGGACACTCTGTAACCAGCTCACATTCATGGCCATTTGAAGTATCCTATGATCAGATGACTGCAATTTTCAGCATTTTTTGCCAGTTTCTGCACTTATGTCTATAAAAAATGACTATTGAAAAAAACATTCATTGAACAGCCACTGTGTTCACTTAACCATCACAGAAAAAGAGTAAAGTCAGGTGTGTCACAAGATGACCTGCTTAACCACTGCTATGACTTACCACTGTAATTCTGACCACAATTATGTTCCTAAGAAGAGAAC